AGTTTTCTATTTTAGAAATCCGTTTTCTAATTTGGAAGCAGCTCCAACTTTAGAAGTTAGTTACCTAAAAATAAAATTAGTTTCCTAATTTAGGTTTAAGGGTAATTTGCAAAATTATTTTTTAATGTGGGTCTCCTAAAAATATCTAACCTAATTTATTTGGATAGTCCAAATTAATTAGTAATTAATTAGGTCAAAAAGGTTTAATTTAAAAGCCTACAAGATATTTTAATGTGAGAATAAACATGAACCTTATCGGATAAGGATGAATATTTTAAAGGATAAGATCCGAAAGCCTACATGCATAACGACTCCTAACTCTTATAGGATTAGAAAGTAACAATCTTGAATCCACATAGGATAAGTTACCTCCATTTCCTTGTACTTTGAGGATAAGGAAGCCTCTCCCCCAATAAATAGAAGGAGAGGTACAACAAAAAGGAGTAAAGGCATTAAGGCTACATAGCAAAATGTGAAAATAAGGAGAAAATAGTTTTCTTGCTACCCTTACACACGCCACCTCTCCTCTCTCTTAGATTGTGACAAAATATCCTTGAATAGATTCCTAAAAGAAAAACACTAAACAAGTCGGAAAAGTTAGAGCTAGCTCTATACTAATTTTGAGTCCTTCTTGTGTGAGTTCGTAGACTACATGAATTATCGATAGAAGCTAAACATTTGGATGACTTCTTTTTTAATAAGGTTAAAATTTACACCACAAGTGATAATTCTTTATTTATGCTTTAATTCATGTATATATGATTAGTTGATTCAACGACATGATCTTGAAAACTTTAGATAGAGAAAAATTTTTATTTTATTCCACACCTCTATAGCATACATGATCTTTCATATAATTCAAATAAATATATTTGGTTCTTACATAAAAGACTATATTTTTGGTAAGATATATTGCACTTTGACTATCACTAAAAAGCTTACTCGTCATCTTGTGCCTTATCAACTTCTTTCGGAAAGTTCTTGAATTAGACCATTTCTTTACCAGCTTCTAAAATAACCATATACTCAACTTCAATGGTAGAAAGAAAAACACACTTCTAAAGTCAAGATACCTAACTTAGAATAGTACCACCTAAAGTGAAAACATAACCTATAGTATTATTTTTATTTTTTAAATCATCACCTAAATCTACATCAACAAATTCTTATAAAATAGTATTATTCCTTTTAAAACAAAAGGTCATGCTTGAAGTATCTTTTAGATAACAAAGAATCCACTTTACTCCTCCCTAATGCTTTTTTTTTTTTCGGATTTGCCATTTACCTACCGATAACTCTCACTCGCATGAGCTATATCGGATCTTGTGTAAACCATACCATACATTAGGCTTCTAACTATCAATGCATAAGGGACTATAGACATTTTTTTTTCTTTTCAGCTTTCTTTGGTGATTGCTCCTTTAAAATCCTAAGGTGGCTTCCCAAAAGAGTGCTTCGATCTTTCTATCTTGAAGTTTGAATCTACTTAACACTTTTTAAATGTACTTACTTAAGATAAAGTCAATGTTCTTTTTTACCTATCTTTACCGATTCTCATCCTAATTATCTATTTTGCAAAACCTAAGTCCTTCATCTTAAACTATTCCGTTAATTTTTGTTCGAGCTTATTAATCTATTTCAAGTTAAATCTTGCAAGAAGCATATCATCAACACATAAAAATAAAATAAGATAACGTACCTTCAAGCCTTTTAATATAACAAGTAATGATCCATTTCGTATCTCTTGAAACCATTATCATAAATGAACCCATCAAACATCATGTACCATTGTCCGAGAGTTTGTTTCAAACCATATAAACTTTTTTATAACTTACATATAAGTTTTTCCTTCTTTGGAACTTCAAAGCCTTCTAGTTGTATCATATAGATGTCTTCCTTAAGGTCACCATATAGGAAAGGAATTTTAACATCTAACTACTCTAGATGTAAATTTTCTATAGCAATAATACTTAGCACTAGCCTAGTAGTAATCATGAGAGAAGATTTCGATGTAGTCAATTCCTTCTTTTTGTTGAAAGTGTTTTATAACTAACATTATCTTATATCTTTTACTACCATCATGCTCTTTTTTGACCTTGTACGCTCATTTATTATGTATAGCTTTTCTTTCCTTCGGTAACATAGTTAAAGTCCATGTCTAATTCTTCTTAAGAGACATCATCTCATCTTTCATTACTAACTCCCACTTGATAGAATCTTTCACCAACATTGCTTCACTAAAGAATTTTGGTTCTCCAACATCGATAAGAAATAAATAATTTAGGAAAGATGAATACCTTTGAGTGGATATGGACACTTTATCAAATCTTCTTAGCTAAGAAGTAAAAGTTACTGGTTCCGGTTCAACTTCTCCATCTCTATCATCAAAATTTTGATTCCCAACTATATCAACTTTTAAAATCTCCTTCAAATCAACTTTCTCATTTGTTTTTAAATGGTTTCATGTACTTATTAGAATCTGTCTTATGCCTGTCTTTAGACAATATATTTTCATTAAAGGTCACATCCTTACTCCTTGATCTTTATATTCTTATCTTCTCAAAACTAATAACCAAAATCATTAGAATCATAACCAATAAAGTAACATTTGTTATCCTTAGGATCAAGCTTATCTCTATCATTACATCCGAAATGTAACCATAAGTTCTCAAGTATAAGAAAGTTACCTCCTTTTCTAACTATACTTCCTTAAATCATTTGAAGCCCAATGGAGCTAAAAGTCCTCTAGTTATGAGGTAAACTGCTACATGCACCACATCGACCCGAATGTTTTGGGAAAAATAGAATGCAATCTCATACTTCATGCTCATCCATTCAAGTTCCGTTCATCCTTTCAACAACACTATTATGCTCTAGTGTTATAGAAACTATCTTAATCATTTTGATCTTATTATCCGAACAATAATCTTTACATTCTATGCTACCATACTCTCCTTCATTGTCCGACTTCAAAGTTTTGATCTTCGGACTAGTCCGATTTTCAACTTTAACCTTTTACCTTTTGAATACAACAAACAAATTAGATTTATTTTTTAGAAAATAAACTTATACCTTTACGGTGGAGTCGTCAATGAAAGTGAAATAATAGCGCGAACCTCCAAGAAAAGTCACAAGTGGCCGATCCCCATACATCAATATACACCAATTCTAGCTTTTTTTCCTTTAAGGATCCGTTGAACTTTAAGAAATGGACTCTCTTCTACTTTTCATATATACAAGCCTCATATAAGCCAACATTAATATGTTTCAATTCTAGTAATTTTCCTATCGGTTCTAACTCGCTTTAAATCTTTTTTACTCATGTGCCTAAGCCTTTGATGCCATCGTATTAAATCACCATCATTATCGAATTAGCCACTACTATCGTATCCCTTGTTATAGCAATCATATACAAAGTTTCAACCTTACTATGATGTGCTATAACAATATTTCCTTTCATTATCTTTCATGATCCACTCTTAAATAATGTTATATAACCAACTTTATTGACTTTACTCATAGAAATCAAATTCTTCTTGAGACCCGAATATGTCTAACATTCTGCAGTTTTCATTACATTCCATTAAAAATTCTAATACTAACCTCACATTTCTCCATAATATCTAAAGTTTCATAATTTATAAGATAAATCTTTGTAAAATTTTCTACAATATATTTTTGTAGAAAATTTTTACATGGAGTAGCATGAAACGACGCACTCGAGTCTAGAATTCAAAACTCAATAGGATTGTACATTCTAAGATTTCATCAATCATTGCATATACGGAATCATCATTCTAATTTTTATTCTTCTTAGGAGCCTTACACTAATTTTTAAAGTGTCTTTTTCTCATTGTAGTTCCAATAGATGATCTTTTTATGGTTTTTAGATTTTCCTCTACCCTTTGATTTTGGCCTCGCCATTACCATAATTCGACCTCGCTAAAAGTCCCTTCTTCTGCTATCGATACTCAAAGCAAAGCTTGAAGGTTCTCCCGACTCACTCCTACGAAGATCTTCATTGACCATCAAATCTCGAACAATATCCAATTTCGAGTTTTTCATTCCTTAATCAATTGTTTACTACTATTATTGTTCCATACTAACTACCGAGTAGAAAAGATAGCAAAATCAATGTTTTAACTTCATCATCAAACACAACGTTTACTGATCGTAATTAACTAATCAAGAAATTAACTTTATTGATGTGATTAATTATAGACGCACCCTTTGTCATCTTCGGATTGAATACTTGACACATTAAAAATACCTTGCTTGAAGCGGATGGCTTCTCATACATATTTGACCATGAGTCATCAAATACGTTATGGATTTTTCTTTCACGATGTTGAAAGCAATGTTTCATGTCAATGTCAATCGAATAACACCCAAAGCTTGGCGATCCAACGAACCCAATCAGCATTTTTCATCTCATCCGGTTTGGTAATGTTACCTACTCCATGACTAAACTAGGATTTTTTATTAGGTTTTGTCAAATAGCGACTACAAATACAAGTGATGTTGCTTCTATTTATAATGTGGACAACTAAGGTTATAAGAAAAAGGTTTAACAAATCTATACATCCGGCTCAATATTCCGTACACCTTTCGGAGGCTCCGTCCTTAAGTCTCCATAAGGGGTGTTGCCTTTTTGAGCCCCGCTCGCTAACCGATTAGAAAGATCGTTGTGCTGAATCTTTATAACGCCTTATACTCGTAAGCCTCCATCCATATCAATCTCTACAACTTAATAATTTTAATTCTAGATTTTTCTTAATTTTATGTTATTTTTTTATGAAAAACTAACAAATAGACAAATTAAAAAAAATTCAAGAATTACTGAAATAAATTTTAAGATTCAAATATTCAATGTCAAGTGAGTTAAAAGTTGAAGAGTAATTAAATCCATTTAGTCTTAAAAGTTCTACGCTAGCCATAAAACTGTTTGGGCTTGAGCTTAAAATCAGCATACAAAAGTTATGGTGTTTATCTTTCATGACTTATGGCCAAGAAAGGGCGTTTTGGTTGGTAGGGCCCATGGACTATATACGTGTAGTGGTCAAGGGCCCCGAGGCGGCCAGGAAGTAATCGGTAATCTAACTTTGCTTCCAATTTGTGAGACAAAACGCTATAAGATGCCGCTTCGATGATGAAAGCACACATCACGTCGTTTTCAGATATCCTGTGAAGCATTTTGATCAAAAGACCATTAATCATTTCAGGAAGATGAGACGCTACTTCCTGATAATTCTTCACCCATGGCTTTAAGTCCTAACGAAAGGCCAAAATGAGCTGGATCTTCCAAATTTATCTCTAAAATAATGGAAGAAATCACAAAAAGGGTAAATCAGCATGTTCCTCTAGCCGCCATGGCTTTGGAGTTTAGACGAAGAGATATTGGTCCCCTGCTATATTAACAATTCTACGCACATTCCGTAAATGGTTGCTTCCTGCATGTGATCTGGATGTCTGCTAAATTAACAATATGTTAATGACATATTTTTTAATTGTGATAATTAATTCACCATTGCCTTGCAAATTTATTTGAGCTTAATTCGTTAATATTGTTCTTAAAAATTATTTAGTTATGGAATGTGCACGGTTTAAAGAAAGAATGAAAAGAAAAGCAGGGGAGAGGGGAGGGAAAAACAAGAGAGATGACCTCAAGGAAGGTTCAATTTTAATGAGAATTAAAAAGTACGTATATGAGAAAATCAGGAGAGATGACAACGACATTTGAAAACATAAAATTAAATTAGCACAGTCGAGTATTTTCGGGCAGTAAGCAACGCAAGCAACTTTAATTTATTGTGCACTTGACTTGACATTTGGATAAATTAAAGTAGAGATGGGGTTTTAGATATTATTAGATGCTTACATGCGCTGTGCTACGGGTCTATCCTGTGGATAAGAAAAAATTGATAAAATTAATTTAAAAATTTATTATAGTTTAATAGTAAAATATATATTGAAACAATGCTATCTAATTTTATAATTTTTATCAATTTTATATATTTCATTTTAGTTTTTATTAAAAAACATGATTTGTTCTTCATTATTCATCATTGTTAAATAAAAACCTACGATAATATAAATTGATAATTAAAAAGAAAAACATCTTAATATTTTTTTTATAAGATTGCATCAAATAAATAAATAAATAAAATAATCAATATAAAAATTAACAAATAATTTTTTTTATGTTTTTTAAAAATATATACATTTGATTTATATTTATTTATTTATAAAATAATAAATAATCTTAGCATAAAAAAGATGCATATGAATTATTAGACGGTTCTTTTAAAAATTTATTTTAATTTATGTATTTTAAAGAAATTAATTTTAGAACAATAAAAAAAATTAAATGCAAATTGTTGGTGTTATATGTGAAGATGCATAGATAATTTTTAATAAAACCAATGATATTAATTTTTTTATACGTCATAACATACTTAAAGGGTTAGAGTGTGCAATATAAATCACAAAGTCTGTTAAAAAAAATTATAAGAAATACATTGAAGTTAATGAAATGCAATCAAAATAACTACAACATTTATTTCAATAAATTTTTACTATACAAAAAATAAGAAAATAAAACACATGAATTCTATTATTTAATTGATGACTTAATTGATTTATTTTAAAGAAATTAATATTAGAATATATGAAAAAAAATAAATGTAAATTACTGGTTTTATGCATGCGGATACATACATAATTTTTAATAAAACCAATTTTTTAATTTTTTTAATTATCATGATCATACTCGGTAGGTTAAAGAGTGTAGCATCTATTGTAAAGAATTTAAAAAAAAATAATAATTTGAAATAAATATATTGAAGTTAATGAGGTGTAATAAAAATAACCACAAAATTTATTCCGATAAAATTTTACTCGTACAAAGAATAAGTAAATAAAACATGTGAATTTTATAATTTAATTGATGATTTATTTTAAAAAAATTAATTCAGAATTCCATACACATAAAACAATAAATGATATTTATTAACAAAAATACATAAAAAAAAATTATGAGAATTTTCATAACGCAAATTGAAGAGGTATGTACGTACGTACCTATATATATTCTAAAATTCAAAAAGAAACATCGCATATGTTTCATAATTGTTAGAATATGTAACAAAAAAATATATTTTTTTTTCATAATTTTTGCACCCAATTCAACAACAACAATAATAAACCTAAATTGCTAAAAAAAAAAAAAACCTTGTCACGGGCTTGAAGAAGCAAGCCCGGGGGCCTTCTAGTCAAAATTCCCGATCTATTTTCAAAACTTAAGCTTCATATTAGTAGATATAAATCATTTGTGTCAAATTACATAATAAAGATAATTTTTGTCAAATCACATACCATATGCAAATTACATGCTTAATTTGACTGAAAATTTTATCAAATTATAGCTAAAATGATAAATTATAAATCAACTTAAATTATAAGGACATATCCGAGATGATTTTTTTTTAATAAGGATAAATTGAAAATTTGATCCATTATATAAAGGCAGAGTCAAAGTATTACCAAAACAAAACAAAACAAAACAAAAATTCTCAAAAAAAAAAAAAAAAGGTTTAGTCACCGTAAAACTACATTTAATTTTAGTTTATAGTATTAATATTAATATTATTTAAAATGTAATAATATATGCGCATGCAAGATATGATTTCATTATTCATTACTTATCAAGCATGTGCTATGGGGCCAATGCCCATATTGTTATTATGTTGATTGCTCCCGCTATGCTGCGAATCAAGTAAAATATGTAAAATTATTTAATAATTTTAATTTGATATTTTTTTCTATATTACATGTATGATAAAATATATTGTTATTATGCCATGGGTTAAGTAAAATATGTAAAATTATTTAATAATTTTAATTTGATATTTTTTTCTATATTACATGTATGATAAAATATATTGTTATTATGCCATGGGTTAAGTAAAATATGTAAAATTATTTAAAAATAATTTTAATTTGATAATTCATGCTATATTACATGTATGATAAAATATATTAAATTAAAGGTAAAAAAAATATTTAAATTTATAATATATTCTTTCTTATATTTTTCATAAATTTTGTAGTTAAAAAATATGATTTTTTTATTTTTTATGTATTGATTTTTAAATAAAAACTTGCAATAAGCTAAATACAATATTAAATCCAAAATTTTAAAAAATAACTTAATATATTTTTTTCATAATATTGTATCAAAAAAAAAAATAATAAAACAATAATTCATATGAAAACATATATAAAAATTAGCAAATGAATTTTTTTCCATTCTTAATTAACTCTGGTGAGAAGATTATTTTAAAAAAATATGTATATAGGATTTATATATATTTATTCACAAAATAATCAATAATTATAGAATAAAAAGTTTTATTTGATCATTGGATGGTTATCCTAAAATATTATTTTAATTATTTTATTTTTAAAAATTGATTTTAGAATATAAAAAAATAATAACAACTAGTTAGTATTATGTAAGTAGATGCATAGTTAATTTCTAATAAAACTAGTTATATATATATATATAACTAGTTATATAATTTTTTAATTATATAAAGAGGAAATAAATAAAACATGTGATTTTTTTTAATTAATTTTTCTATTAAATGAGCTAGGGTGTCACATACTAAGCATGTGATTTTTAATTAATCCAAATTTGATATATATATATATATATAATTTTTTAATTATATAAAGAGGAAATAAATAAAACATCTGATTTTTTTTAATTAATTTATCTATTAAATGAGCTAGGGTGTCACATACTAAGCATGTGATTTTTAATTAATCTAAATTTGATAGAAATCTAATCTTATTCAATAGAAAGATTAAATTTTACTTTAAATTTTATTTTAAAAAAAATTATACTGAATAATTTGTTTAAAAATCATTCCTATTTTAATCAACCAATAAGTGTAAACCTTTACTATATTTTACACCAAATATATTAATATCAAGTCTAAAGCACTTTTATTATTGTTAGCATTATTATTCAAAAAAAAAAGTAAGGATATCATTTGTTCATTTACAAGTAAAAATAAAGGTAGTTTAGTTAAAGAATTAAAAGTAACATGCATCAATTATTTGCATGCAAAAGAAAGTTCTTACGGCCCCACCATGCTAGAGCATTAAATGCTATGGGATAAAGAGAGAAAGGATTGAAAAAGGGAAGAGAACAACGAAATGAAAGGAAAGAAACAAAGGACCAAAGAAGTAAAACAACACAACAACGATGGCATAAAAGAAATTAAGGCAAAAACATGAGGGTGGAAAAAAAGGCAACTTTAGTGAGGCAAATTACTACATGCGGGAAAGAAGACCCAGAAGGCGATCGATAGTAAATTTAGACATTTGAACAGTCTAACAATAATAATTTACTGTTTAGAAAACTCATCTTCTTTATTATTATTTTTTTAATTGAATAAGATAATTATATTTTTGATATTGAATTTTATTCAAACGATTTAAATTTTGTGGTGGTTCATTTTTCATATATATATATATATATATATATATATGAGATAAATTTTTTAATATTTTTTTACTTATAATCTATTTTCTAAGATATGTTAAAAGATTTGAGTTTTAATTTTTTTATTAAACGGTTGAGCTTTATTGGGCATTTTCAAAGCTGTGAGCAAATTAACTTAAATAATTTAGATTAAATTTCATTTAAAATATTTAAGTTTCGTGACGATGGTCTACTCTCAACCTTGTCACTTAAAAAAAATTATTCAAAATAATATAAATTATATTATAGAGTTTTATTTAATATTGATTTTAAAAATTTAACTCTAAAAGAAAGGTATTTTTGAAATTTACGTAAACCGATTGATTTATGACATTTAGTATATACGTTTGTGGAGGAGAAAAAAATAAAGATAAATAATTAAGTTATTGACGTCGTATGAAACCATAGATACTATTAATTAATTCATTTCGACAAACTTAGAGACTAATTTATTTAACTTAATAAAATATTAAGGCTATTCACTTCGTAGGTGCATTAATACTTTCAGTGCCCGATCAAAATGCATGGATTATTCCAACTTCAAGACGTCAATGTAGACTCTTTAAGTGTACACTGTTGACCGAATATAAGCATGTTTGACCAGATTAGCTAGGTTCTTCTCTCTCTCTTTTTTTTTTTTTTTTTTTAACGAGGCATGTAGATTTTGGACTATATAATGAAAATAATTTTTTTTTATAGCATAATATATATACAAATAAATTAGAAGTATTAAAATTCAAATCCATTTCACTAAAAAAATATTAAATAAATAATCACTAAACTATATTTGTGTACACTTACTTTTGAAACAAACTCCAATCAACAATATGGTAATTTTTTTGGACTGAATCAACATGTTAATTGTAAATCATCAATCTATAGTAGGAAAAAAAAAATTAATATATTTGTGTACACTTTTCTTCGGCCAATTCTACCCCACTTAAAAGGAAAATCCATTAATTAAAAGACTATTGCTTATTAAAGGAGCCCACCTTTAGTTTTCTAAACAAATTGGGCCCTATCAGCATTTAGAACAAGTATACGCTTGAGTTAAGATGCTTTTATTTTTTATTTTTTACGCAAAAACACTCTGATATGAGCTGGTATATTTTAAAAGAACCTTATACTCATGAATACAGCTTGGGATGCCTGATTTCAAATAATAAAAAATATAAACCTTCAAAGACTAAAATGCCATCCTTATCTTCTATAAATGGGGACTTGCCTGCCTTGCTTCTACAGATATTGGTAGAAAGCCAAAATGTCTTACTCCCCCATGAAACTTTCATTTGTCTCTCTTTGCTTGTTCTCAATATTTGCCTTCATCGCACAAGCCACTGTCCCTCAATCTGCCACCTTCAAGTATGTTAATGAAGGAGAGTTTGGGGAATACATTGTAGAGTATGACGCAAATTACCGAGTCCTAGACCCCTTCAATTCCCCATTCCAACTTTGTTTTTACAACACCACTCCTAATGCATATACCCTTGCTCTACGTATGGGTACCGTGAGGTCTACTTCACTAATGCGTTGGGTTTGGGAAGCCAACCGAGGCAACCCAGTTCGTGAAAATGCCACTCTCACCTTTGGTGCCGATGGAAATCTTGTCTTGGCCGATGCGGATGGAAGAATAGCTTGGCAAACCAACACCGCCAATAAAGGTGTAGTGGGCTTCCAGGTACTGCCCAATGGTAACATGGTGCTTCATGACCCAAAAGGAAACTTTATTTGGCAAAGTTTCGACTCTCCTACTGATACTCTATTGATTGGCCAGTCTTTACATGTTGGAGGTGCAACTAGACTTGTAAGTCGACTATCTGAGCAACAAAACTCAAATGGGTTCTATAGCCTTGTGTTGGAGCCCAAAAGGCTGGCCATGTACTATAAGAGTCCAAATTCTCCTAAACCATATATCTACTACACATCGGATAGGTTTAGTGTAAACACTGGTCGCTTACAAAATGTGACGTTAAAAAGTGAACCCGAGACAGATGAGGGCTTTGCCTATGATTTGAGTTTTGAGTTCTCTACTGGAGGGAATGTCTTTCTCGCTAGGCCCAAATACAATAGCACGCTATCATTTCTTCGACTAGGATTAGATGGAAATCTTAGACTCTACACATATTATGATAAAGTAGATATAGGTGCATGGGAAGTGACCTTCACTCTCTTCGACAGGGATTCAAGTTGGGAGAGTGAATGCCAATTGCCAGAGAAATGTGGTAAGTTCGGCCTTTGTGAGGACAACCAATGTGTTGCTTGCCCATCACCTAATGGGCTACAAGGCTGGAGCAAGGACTGTGAAGCTGCGAAGCCACCCTCATGCAGATCCCAAAATGTTTACTATTATAAACTAGAAGGTGTTGATCATACTATGAGCAAGTACGCAAGCGGGAGCGGATCAATAAGTGAGGTTGATTGTGGAAAGAAATGTTCAAGTGATTGCAAGTGTCTAGGCTACTTTTACAACAAGGAGACATCTAAATGCTGGATTGTCTATGATCTCCAAACCCTGACTAAAGTTGCAAATTCTACGCATGTGGGTTACATAAAGGCATCTAAACACTAATTAGGTATCTTGTCCTGCTTGTTTTGACTAATTTGGTTTGATGGGATGCTGTTTCACCTTCCATAAAAGTTGTATTTCTTCCTTCTTTTCTGTACCGATCAGCCAATAATAAAGGAACTGCGGCTTTGTTTTTGTTTCAGCTGAACTACAAAGGGCTTGTCTATAGTGGACCGGTTCTGCGCCCCTTTTGCTTTTTAAACCTAATAGTGCTAATTCCCATAACCGAACTGACAACAATTTTCTGTTGGGAATTCCTTCATCAGTAAGAAATTATTGATGAAAATTATGATTGGTAACTACGTAATTCTGACAGTATTTGAAATTTGACAAACTTTATTGAAAAATATGCAACAAATACTTTTTGGTTATTCACTCAGGAGATAAATTCTTTAATAGTTGACCAAATTTACTGTAGACATATAAACTGTCACTTTTACATCTTTAAATATTTCTCATATAATAATTATTCTCAAATTTTTTAATCTTATATCAACCAAAATATTAAATTGAAGCTAGTCCTGCCAATAAATGTTAAATTTGACCACATACTTCTTCTGCCCAGCAAACGTGGCTGTTATTGGGTGATAGTGATGTCATGTCCCCCACCCCCCATATTCCTTTTTCGATTTTCCGCAAAATGTATTCTGCTATATATATATATATATATATATATATATATATATCTCAAAATTTTGGTGATAGGTATTTAAGCATAGTTATTACCCATAACATCAATTCATTATTGGAGAGAGGATTTGCATCAGATCCCATGCTGTGTAGCTCAGATAAAGTTAGACCATAATGTCCATAAATGCTTGTCTATGCTTCCATATTTGCTCCCCAATCAAATCCTCGCTGAGTGACGTGACACCCACTCGATCTTGTCTAAAATGTAGAAGATGGAGTCTAAGATAAAAACAAAAAAATGCCACTCCTCAGTCCTTGGAGAGAAAGGGTTTATCAAGGGCTTGAGAGTAATCATATCTTTGTTTATGATCAAGAAATACAGTTACCCTAAAAACTCCATGAAACACGAGGACCATAGACTAAGGAGAAAGCTAAAAGGTGCTTGTGAGTAATGAGATTCATGAGAGAGGTGTGAATTTTGGACCAGCAAGATAAAGTTATGCAAAAGCACTTGTCTTTTCTCCATTGAAGCTGGCTTATCCAGTTTCACATTAGGTGGTTCTGGTTTAGGTACAGTACAATTATCACCGATAATAGTTTCTACATCTATCTCCTCATCTGAATCAATACTAGAAGTAATATCCTCGTCAACTAGATTTTTTTTAGATTGTATCTTCTCATCCATAATAAGCACAATTTTATGATTACCAGTTTTATCACTGTTGATTTGTTCAGAAAAAACTGCATAATTAAACGTGCAAGGGTAGTACTATTTGTCATTTGGTTCGCGGGAACAAACCTGTTGTTCGTTGTAAGGCTTGCATAATTTTGTCTTTTTTCTTCCTCAAAAATTGCAACTATTGTAATAACTATTTTAACCAAAAATATTTCTTTTTTCTTGTTGCAGCTAGTTTTTTTTTTTTTTAAAGAAATATATTTAGTTATGTTTATAATTATAAATTATAATTAGAAACATAATTAATATATATTAGAGAAAATTATAATTTAATGTTTCTAACATTTGAGTTTTTTTTCCTTCTTATCCGAGTGTATAATTATTGAAAATGAAAATGATGATGTGTCTAGGATGAAGCTGCCACAGGGTAATTTTTAATTAACCGACACATGAAAAATAAAGTCCTATTTAGATTATTACAAAAAAAAAATCATTTTTTTTTTTTTTGCGTTTAACATTTGATTTTTTTAATCACATGAGACTGAAAAATAATAATGTTATTGAAATTCACTAATATGTGACAATCTTTATCCGATAAGTGATAAAAAAAAAGTGGGTCTCATTTGTATTTATAGAGAAAAAATAAAATAAAATAATTGGCAAGAATTAAAAATAAAATAAAATAAATAAGAAGAAAGAAATCAAAATTAATTACTATTAATTGAATAAACTCGAATTAATTTGATCTTAGGTTAAAACTCTTGGATTAGAAAAATAAAATATTTAGATGATGATACCTTGGACGTGTTTTAAGAAATTAATTAGTAGTCGAGCTCATTCGACTAGCGATAATTAATTTTGATTTTTTATTTAATTATTACCGAGTTATTTTCTTTTATAGTTTTTTTTTCAATCCAAATGGGACTCATTTTTTTTTATCACATATCAATTAACAAGCTTGTTGTGTGTATGTGAATGCGGATCACATCGGTATTTTTTAATCCCAAATGATTGAGAGAATTCAAATAAATACATAAATAAAAATTAAATGTTGGACACTTAAACGAGAAAAATAATTAAAGGTTAGGCACTCAAATTGTAGTTTTCTTTACAAAAAAAAAAAATATTCTTTTCTATATAATCCAAGTGGGATCTATTTTTGTCATGTGTTAGTTAAAAACTATCACATCACAATTAATACCAAACACATCGGCATTTTTCAATTTTAGGTGGTTATGGGCACTTATGCATTGAAAAAAAATATCAAAGTTTGGACACTCAAATAGAAAAGAAAATATCAAAAATTGAACATTCGAATTGTAGTTTCTTTATGTATTATAGTGTCAACGAATCATTTCAATGTAAAAACTTAAACTGTTAGGTGTAAAGCTCCGAAATAATTTTATATAACTTTCTAACATATAGTATATGATTTAATAAGTGTAAAATACTTTATCTATGAAATCCACCAAATATTTCTATAAATGTAAAATATAGGTTAACGATGTCAAGTGAGAGTTAGATATGTGTGTTTTTTGGTATAAAGAATTTGGAGCAAGAGATTATCATATATTTGGTGTGTTTTTTTCTATTTGAGTGTTCTAGTTTTTATTTTTGCTATTTAAATATTTATTTATTTATTTTAGATTTTTTAATCAAGTGTTTCTATAAGATTTTGTTAAATACATATTGATGTAACTAGCCATTAAATTGACATGTGTCATGATGATGAATAGACCAAATATACATTAACATTAAATCAAAATACTTTAGGAAAAAAATGATATATATATATATATACTATTCTAATAATTTTGGGATATGTTTGATGTTTGCCCTACACTTCATGTTTGTATTGGGGTACCTTAATTTTGAAAATATACAAAGGCTTGCATTACGAAAATTGAGGTGCAACGGTTTTTTTTTTTTTTTTTAATCTGCTTTTTAACGAAAATTGAGGTTTATAATGAAAATTTATAAAAAAAAAATTTAAAACGGTCAAAAAGAAAAAATCAAGATTTTTTTTTGAAATTTTTGAATAAATAAATTTTCATGAAGTTTTTATCGAGAGTAAAAACAGTTTTTTTTTTCAATTTAAAACATTTTTTTTTCAATTTTCTACCTTCCATCAAAGAAGTCAACACAGTTTGGAGTAAAAATAATAAAACAATAGTTTTGGATGTAAAATTTTTGCTACCATAATGCATAGTTTACGGAATATATTGATGTTTGCCAAAAAAAAAAAAAAAATTACTTTTCCCTACCATTATTATTTATATTGAGCTTACCTTAATTTTGAAAATGGACAAGATATTGAATTCCCAAAAAAAAAAAAAAAAAAGAAAGGTGCGCCCCTTTTTGGCTACTGGCGCCCTTTAATTTATGACCTTTTTTCCTTTTTTTTTTTAAAAAAAAAACTTGATCTAATGTGTTTTTGTTTTCTCTTATTGAAAAGAAACTTAATCCAATGTTATTAACTGTGAACGAATAGCTTTCTTAACTATGTAAAATGATACATCCGAACCTCTTTTTCTTATATATATATATATACACACACACTAAAATTCATATCAATTAATGTTGTATACAAAAATATGTTTCCTTTTCGTTGAGTCTTCTTTTCATATTTATTATAACTTTGGTTTGCACTTTTAACATTCAATAACAACATATAACACGACACCAAATATTCAAAAGTATTAATTATCTCGTACCTTAAGTGCATGTCTGATCAACATACAAGAGCTTTAAAATTTCAAAATATCGTGTCTAACTCTATAAGATTCGAGAATTAGATTATATAAAAATGTGATCCGATCAAGGTTAATTTTCAATAGGGAAATTGGCATCCCTTAAATGAATTTCTTCATATAATAAATTAATTTTATACTGGATCATGTGCATAGTAATTTAAAAAATGAATTGTACATTATTAGACTTCCTTGTCCTCATTTTAAGTAGCGGTGTGCATTAATATATATATATATATATATATATATATATATATATATATATTGTACTCCAATTTGTAAGGAAAAATTACTACATAGTTAATTTTTAACAAGCAATATTAATTGAGAATAAGAATTGGAAACAGTAATTGATTTTAACATGGTGTCACATAAATCAATCTGTAAAATTTAATAGGCCAATTGATTTTATTTCCTCTTCTCTCTCTCTCATTTTTGTTAAAAGAATAAAATTAAAAACAGCATGTAAAGTGAATTCTTCTTTCTCTACATCCAATTTAAGTGAATTCTATCTAAATTTTTATCCAAATCAGATAAAAGTACAATCAAATCAGAATTGTTGATATCAATAACAAAGGTCCAATGAAATTACATCTCTGTATCCCAGAGTCAAAAGTGGCGTTTTGCTTGGCTGTAACCATGATTGCATACTGTTTTTTTTTTTTTTTAATAGTTACATACATGTCATGGTCACATGGGCCTTCTGGGGCAGGAATTTATCCACAATCCAATGTCCGTTTGTCCAATTTATGAGACAAACATTTGAAGTTACTAATAATAAAAGAATACACCAATGGTGTGGAGTTCAATTAATCATTTCAGAAAGATGAGACGCAGATTCTTGATAACTCATGAAGCTCTCATTGCCTTAATTCCAAATTAAAAGCAAAAAATGAGCTGGATCATTAAAAAATCTCTCTGAAATAATGGAAGGAATCACAATAAGAGAAAAGGCAGCATTTGCCTCTAGCCGCCATGGCCTTAGAGTTTCGTCGCAGGAGATGCCTTCATCTGATATGGATCGATGCCTGGTCAAGGAGCGTTAGTGAACTACAGAGTCAAGACACAGTATTGGTTAATTGAGATACAACTCCGTGTCATGAATATTTGAGCTTAATCGGTCATTGTTCTTAAAGAACCCTTTAATTTATTGTTTATTTGACTTGAAATGCATTTGGGTACCCAAAAAAAAAAAAACAATTAAGATGTGATTCTTGATAGAGCAAACATGGTATCAACTTGGATGACATGACTACACTGTCAAGGGGAAAGGAATGCTTGGATTCATAAGTTTCCATATATAGATCCATCCCCTTACATGATATCTCAGCAAGTTTTATATTAATATTATTTTTATTGTTTGGTCAAGCATCCTATCCCGAAGAAACTTTAGGATTCAAGAACTTTATGAAATCGTGGAACAATATTATTATATTACCATAGAACTTAGATATTCCAAGACGTCAATGTAGACCCTTACTGTACCCTATTGTTGACCGAATATCAACATATTTTACCAGATTAGTTTAACTGACAGCTGTCTTCCATCTCTGATTTCTTTCACGTTCCAAGCTGTGGGCGAGATCCTTTTTTTTTTTACTTAATCGTGCCTCAAAAGTTAGTATTAAAATTTCAATTGAGTCATCTGGTGGTTAAGAATATTATTCAGAAAAGTTTATTAATTCTTTTAAATACATTAAATCCATATAAAAAAATATGTTTTTAAAATTATTTGAAAAATAATTAAGCTAATCATTGACTCAGATTGATCTAAAAATACTTTTATTATTAAATAAAAAATCATATATAGGATATAATCTGCAAATTATAGCCTTTTTTATGGTAATATTATCTGTCTTTTTTATCTTATTTGAAACAATCATCACTTTAATATTAGTAATTAGTAAATCAATCAAATTATAGCCCACCTTTTGTTTTGTTTTGTTTTGTTTTTTGTTTTTCTTTTTTTAAAAAACAAATTGAGCCCAACAGCAATTATAGAACAAGAGCATATGGATTTATTATGTGTCGCTTTTGTTTCCAAAAACACACAGATTACTAACTAGTATATATAAATATTTTTTATTACAACTTTAACTAGTATAATTAAAAGAACCTTATCGGGAATACAACTGGATTAGATGGAAATCTTAGGCTCTACACATACTATGATAAAGTAGATATAGGTGCTTGGGAGGTGACCTTTACTCTCTTCGACAGGGATTCAAGTTGGGAGAGTGAATGCCAATTGCCAGAGAAAGGTGGTAAGTTCGGCCTTTGTGAGGACAACCAATGTGTTGCTTGCCCATCACCTAATGGGCTACAAGGCTGAGCAAGAACTGTGAAGCTGTGAAGCCACCCTCATGCGCGTCAAAAAACATGTTTACTATTGTAAAAAAATAAAAATAAAAGACCTGGGTAAGCACTATTGGTTTACTGTTACTTCAGACTCAGTATGATTATGCTTTGTGACTAAAGTGTTTCTGAAGATAGCACCGTTGAAGGATGCAGTAAGGATTGGTAAGAACGGAAAGGTGAGTCCTAGGTGAAATATCATGTATCCTGTAGAGGTGTAAAATAAAATAAAAATTCTCTCTATTTAAAAGGCTCAAGATCATGCCGTTGAATAAACTAATAATATATTCTTGAATTAAAGTTTTAAATAATAATTACCTCTTATAATGTAGATTTAAACCTTCATAGAAAAAAGCCGTTCAAGTGTCCGAACTTTGTCGAAAAATCTAATCGGGGTAATTTTATAACAACCTAAAGGGAAAGAGAGGAGGTAGCGTGTACTAGGGTTATTAGGTGAAAACTATTTACCCTCCTTTTGACTTGATGTCGTGTGACCTTCTTTTTTTATGTCGAATTTTCTCTCTCTAAAAAATCCTTAGTAGTTTTCGTATCTCTCTCCCATATATATTAGGGAGAGGCTTCCTTGTCCTCGAAAGGATAAGGAGGGGCGAGCAATGAATACCTAAAGGACTCTAGGTTGTTACTTCCTAATCCTCCAAGGATTATGAGTTATTTTACATGTGGGATTTTGATCTTTATCTTTAAAACATTCATCCTTATCCAATAAGGTTCATATTTATCCTCCCACCAAAACATCTTTCATGCTTTTAATTAAACCCATTGGCCCAAAACTATTTTAACCTAATTAATTAATTTAGACTATCAAAACAAATTAAGTTAGATAATTTTAGGAGGCTCGTATTAGGAAGTAATTTTCCAAATTACCCTTAAATCTAAATTAGGAAACTCATTTTTATTTTAGTTTATTTACTTTAAATTTGGAAGTGGTTTCCAAAATAAAAAAATTGATTTCTAAAATAAGAAAATTTTCATTTTAGCAAACTTTTCATTTTTGAAAACCCTTTTCCAAAATAGAAAACGTTTTTCAATATCTTTGCTTATCTTTAATCATGTGAATGCTTAAACTTATGCATGTGACTCAATAAGCTTCTAGATATATTGGTAATGTATCAAGAATAAAAGATACTATTTTATCTCTTGATACATAAATCAAGAGTGGCCTCTAGCAAGGTATCATGACTACTTAATTGTCTATGAGGATTAATTAATCCATAATTACCTTTCACGAGTATGGCTACCATACAATTCGGTCTTCATGTCAACTTATCACAATGTGATCTCAAACTTAGTTATTAGTCTTGTTCGATCATGATCACATAATTTTTCTTCGATTCTCAAATGTTTTAGCTCTTAGAGTAAACCAACTACGCTCTATTAGTATACTCCTACTATGACTATAAATTTTTTGAGTAGACATTCATCGAAATGCATTGTTATAACTCCTTTAGCGTACAAGGAATAACATGTCTTATCTTAGTCATTCACCTCGCCTCTATTAGATTAATAGTGTACCCAATAAATCGTCCATGTGCAACCCTTTACTAGGTCCATCGAAATGACTGTCAAAGTACATAAATGCACTAATGAGATAATCATGATGACTTTAGGTCTAAAGACCGGTTATACCCATCTCGTATGACATTCTCATAGACTTTACCAAATGGGTTCTCACGGCGAGTCAAGTTCGGTGACATGTTTTCTTACATAAGTCACCTAAGTGCTTGCTTTGGCATCACCATACCAATAAGTGTGAGATCTCCTACTTGCTATCTTGTAACATGAGCATAGCACTCACAAGTCTTACCGCATATAGTCAATGCTCATTCTTGATCATGCAATGACTTAGGACATTTAACGATATCATTTATATGTAATATACTTGTCTCATATCTTTCTATCAAAATCTAATGCAAATGCATATGATAAAGATTTCTATCTAATTTTATTCAATGAATAAATATAAATGACAAGAATTAATAAAAAGACTTCTTTTATTATAAAAAATATAAAAAATATAATAATATAATAAGTTAAACCCATCTAACAAAGTTGGATCTTAGACACCTATACTAACACTAGGTACATCGGGCCTTATGAGATACTTGATAGAGTGAGTGACCAAGTATACGGATCGACTCTCTCTCGATCTTTATCGAGAGCTCGTAATGTTTTTCATTTATTGATGTTAGGAAAGTATGTGAATGATTCGAATTATGCATTGACGGCAGAATCGATGGAGTTAACTTTTTGTCATATGAATAGAGGTTGGTACATATATTAGATTGATAGGTGAAAAAGTTAAGAAAACAAAAAGTCACATTAGTGAAGGTATTATGGAGGAATCACAAGATTAAAAAAAAAAACATGTAGAAATGAGAAAAAGAGATAAAGGTATATCCTAAATTATACAATGAGTAAATTTCAAGGATGAAATTTTTATAAAAGGAGAAGGATTCTATCACCCGAGACTTTATATTATAATGTATTACATGTGTTGTATATATATATATATGTTTTAATTGTGTATTTAATTTCATGTCTTGATGTGTTTATGCAATGGAATTGAATGGTTAGGTGTTTGATGGTAGAATGTGATATGTTTTTAGGTGTTGTAGATTGTATTTTTATAGGTAAAAATGAGTCCTACAACCTTCAAGACCCTACTAGGCTATTAGTTAAAAAAAAATAATTCAAGGCCTTTGTTTTAAAAGGCTGGAAAATAACAAAAATGAGTAATTTTTTTCCCATTATATTCATTCCTCTCTCTCTCAAACCTTAACCCTTTCACTTTATCTTCACCATCTCTTACCCATTTTTAGCTTATTTCACCACAAAAAATATAGAATTAGGAGAAAGACATTAGAATTGAGCGAGAAACGAAGAGAAATCAAAGATATTAAGAAGATGACCCGAGGTTTTGGTGATTTAAGATAGGATTGAATTAAGAAATTTCATGATTTATGATTGATTAAATGGATATTGTATTTTAATGTTAGAATCTTAAATTTATAGTGAATATTTGATGATTAAGTGAATTTAAAAAAGAATTGAGAAGGTTAATTGAAAATCTAATAAAATTAGGGTTTGAATTGAAAAAAAATTGATAAAAATGAAGAATTAGCTTATATGAATACAATTAAAATGAATGATAGGAGAATTATGCAAATTAGAGTAGAATTAATGATCTAATTAGGGTTTTGAATTGAAAAAAATTTGGAAAAAATAAAGAACTAGGTTATAGGAATATAATTAAAGATAAATAAAAAGAGAACTGAGTGAAGTAGAGTATAATTAATGCTTTAATTGAGAATTGATGATGAAATCTGGGCTTAATGGATGAAATTAATAATGAGGTATGAAATTCAATGTTAATTAATGATGAAACATAATTGAATAAGTAGATATAAGTAATTAATACACAATTTTCATACCAAATGTCATAGAAAAGAAATTACAACAAAGAATAAGAACTTGTCATAACCCAAACTTTGAGTTATATATTCCTCCAATTTTATCTCTTGTAGTTTTATCTATCCTTTATTTTTTTTTAGTTTATTTAATTTCAATATTTACTATAAAAAATAAAAATTAGGAAAAGAATAAAAAATAAAAAAATTTAAAAAATTTTAAAATTACATGGCATAATTAATTAAAGGCATAATTGAATAAAATCAACACTTGAATTTCAAACAATTGAGGATGTAATTGGAATAATTGAAAACCTTATAACCAACATTAATGGATATAAGAGTACGATTGAAGAAATTGAAAGATCAAAGGACCAAAATTGCATGCTACAAAAGGTATGCTTGTAGATAATCATAGAGTGCGAGGACTAAATTAAAACTTTAGAGTGAATGACAAGACCAAAGTCGAGCAAACGACTTATCGCTCACCTTAGCCCAAAATCAATTCCTAGGTTTGTTCATAGTCTTTTCCACATAGATAAATTTCCCTAAGTTTGTATTGTTCCATCCTTGTAATTCTTGGCTAGCAATTGTACTAACTTAGAATCATGCTTCACATCAACACCCACCACAATACGCCTCTACACACCAATTAAGGTATGATTTTGTTTTTCAATTTTTCTTGTTTTGTTCGCAAATGATAAAATCCAAGTACTTGGGTTTGATTTGTTGTAAGCTAGGATAGGAAATGATTTATGGGTTTGACTATAAATAGAGCCTTTTTGGAGGAATATGCTAGGGATTGAAAGAAGAGAAAAATCGGAGGAATAATTTTTGGGAAAGCCTTCTATACTTTGACTTCTTAGGTTCTTTAAAGAATAACCTAGTTTTTAACGAGAGGATTTTTGGAAGGGTTTTTGGTTTTGAGAGGAAGATTCTTGGTTACTAGAGGGTTGAAGAAGAGATCCGATAGAGCGAAAGAGGGATTTTGGGATCAAAATTTTTGGGTTCTTTGCTTCAAATTTCTCGATTTCAAGAACATTAGAAACCTATTTCTTCAAGTGGTTTTTCCGGTCATTCAACGTGAAGAACAAACTCCCTATCTTTCATGAAATCACATAGAAACCCCATCATCATCAATCAAACCTAGAAAGCAATGCACACCATTTTCGAGTAACCTTGGTTAGTTTTCTAGTTTCATTGTCGTTTCTTGTTAGTTTCATCATTCATTCCTCTATTATTTGCGTTTGGAATTCCAAGTTTGCTAATAAAAGTTAGGTTTAGGAATATAATAATTAGTTTCGACAAAAGCTTTGGTTCAATGGCTTGTTTCTTGTACTTTTGCGAGAGAGAAAGAAGAACAAAAAAGGAGAAAGAAAAAAAAAGGAAAAGAAGGAAAAAAAGAAAAAGGGAAAATAGGCCGGAAAAGGAGAGGGTTAGAATTGGGTTGGATTAGGCCCAGCCTAGTCCATGAAAAAAGAAAAAAAGAGAAAAAGGTTCTAACGAGACCATCCCGGTAGGCCCAATAACCCTAGTTTTTGTCAATTCC